TTTTGTAACATCGAATTCAGCATCAACGTCTGCAAAAGAAATGACTCGTCAGCAAAATAAACAATTGCAAATGATCCCTTTAATTGGATATCCATTGAAGGAAATCCTTGGAACAAAGTTGCCTTCAAATAGGCAGGTTTTGCAGGTGTATTTTTTCAATAAACGCTGCCGAAATTTCGATGAAAAGAGAAGTGTGGTTTTAGCTGTTAATGCAGCCATTATTTATTGGAAAAGGGCAGAAATACCTACCCGTGAGTTACATAAGTGTACGGAACAACTAAAGAAAATCGGCAATGAATACCGTTTGGTTATGAAAGTCCAGATTCGCGGGGATTACAAGGAGCTGCTAGCATTTGCTTTTTTAGGTGGTACTAGTGGTGATTTTCGAACATGCGGTCCAACATCCCATGCGCGGTTTATGTCGAAAGCTATTTATTGCCTGAAGATATTTCTTTTTCGAGAACAGGGCTCGAAACGCAACAAACGATATCGTACTACTCGTCACGTAAAAACACATTTTTCGGATGATGACATACGTAAACATACTCTTTGTCCCATTCAGCTTATACTGCCTGACGTATCACGTCATTTTCTTTCGTATCGTTTTCGATCCGTGAACGGATGTTACGATTCGAGCCCTGTTCAAACTGACGCCAAGAGAATTTAATAGTTTACGAGATATTTGCATTTTCCTCATTCGCCTTTATATGAATTCGCCTTTATATGAGTATATGGTACCAGTGCACAAATCCCATTAAGGCTGCAATGCAAGATTTAAAATTTTTACAAAATTCAATTGAGTACGCCCAAACTGATGCAGTGGTATCCAATGCGGTTTTGAAAAAGTTCAAAAGTCATTTATGGTACTTAATGCCGGAGACAACAGCTTTAGCGTTTTTTGATAATGATGTGCCAGTGGAGGAAAAACGAGAAATGGTGAAGGCACTGCAAGCAGTCGAGCCAAACGTAAAATTCAGTGAAGATAGAGTAATTTCAAATCCCGTTCTCTTGATTCGCAAAACTATTAGAAATTTCGGGTCCTACAAAACTAAAAATTCCTTCGTTGCCCTTTGGTTTGTCTTCTGACTTCTTACGGATGGATCCATCCGAATGGGAAAAAAATTAAGATTATATAGACGTTACCGAATTTTGTCGAGATTTATTCGTTGTAAATGACACAGCTGAGCGGAGTGTTAAATTTATGAAAGATTACAATCGAATATTGACAAAAAATTAGGACCAAAAACAATTGGTGCTTCAACTTGTAGAAGCATATCGAAAAAAATATACATCACACAATAAATCGGCACTTTTCAAGCGGTTATTAGACATAAGAATCATAATATAAGCTTTCATAAGGATCATAATATAAATACATAATATGTTCAGTAAGTACCGTTGTTTCAGTTTTACAAGTATAAATGTATCCCGCAGAAACTTCCAAACTTTA